TGATATCCAACCTGACTCTCCTCTGGCACAGCTGGAGGCCGTTTCCTCTCCTCCTTCCCTTGTTCCCCCCCAGCTCCCCCCTCCTGTCAGGGGGTTGCAGAGCCAGAAGGTCCCCCCTGAGCCTCCTTTTCTCCAGGCTGAGTCCCCCCAGCTCCCTCAGCCCCTCCTGCTGCTCCAGAGCCTTCCCCAGCTCCTCAATGTCTCTCTTGTCAAGATGGGCCCAAAACAGACACCAGGACTGAGGTGCCTCAGCAGTGCCAGCCCAGGGCACTTCCCCCTGCCCTGGGTGATCCACCCCTGCTCACAACAGGCAGCACTCTGAGCTGTTATATGAGGGAAAAGCTGCTTTTACAGCTTTTCTGCTTCAGGAGTTTTAAGCTTCTGAGGGCTCCTCCATTCAGGTTTGTTGAGCTCTGGTGAAGCTTAATAGAGTCCCCTCAACAATTCCTCTATTCTTCTACCTTCTTTGCCAGGTAACTACATCAGGAAGGAGGGGCAGGAAGCTGTGTGTCCACTCCAGGGGGGCTTTGGTAGGAGACACAGTAGAGCTCTGCAGCAACCATGACCTTAATCCTTTTCTAACCAAAGGAAGTAGCATCTCTTCAGAGCATTCAGGAGATCTCCTTCATCCTGCTGAGTCAATTAGGAGGAGAGATGGGTGCTGTCGAGGCTGAATGCCTGAGCTGGATTTTCCCTCCCTTTCTGAAGCTGAAGTGGGCTCTGGGAGGGGTTGAGCTGCAGATTTGCTGCTCCCTCAGTCTGAAAAACGAGTGTCCCCTCTGGCTGTTCCCAGGGTCGGGGTTATTCTTTCTAATGCTGCCAGTCAGCATCCTGGTGATGTGTTAAACGTGGCTGTGGGAAAAATATTGGTATAGGGGCTCTGGTTTTGTACTGATTGTGTTTTCCTCAACCCCTGCCCTGAGCAGGGAGGACAGCCTGCATTCCTGCTTTAATCTGAAGTGCCCTGTGTGTTTCTCCCTCCTTCCTGAGCCGGATCTAATCCCAGCTCTGCAGGCACGTGCAGAGCTGACACATGCACGTCTCACAGGAGGATTTTTCTTTTATCAGTTGTGCTCTGGCCTTCCTGCATTACAGTCACATGCCAGAGGCACTTCCCCAGGAGATGAAAGCAAGGGCTCATTTCAGGAGCAGGAATTTTCCTGCAAGTCCTTCTGCTGAGCTGTGTTCTGGGCTGTGGTATTTAGGGAAGCATAACCCCATAACTCCCCTCCCTGCTTCCGTGGTCTTTTCTTTGTGACCATTAGTAGTAAAGAAGGAATGGTGCTTGGAATTTAGCAAATACAGCACTGCTTTGGGAGGCTTTTGAAGTGTACTGAGCACAAGCTGGAGAGCAGTGCAGTGAGCAGCCCCTGGGGCAGCTGATGCCCAGAGCTGATGCCCTGATGCCTTGCCTGGCTCAGGTAAGGCTGGGGCAGTGGCAGGGTGAGAGCAGAGCCTGGCTCTGATTTCCAGCTCCTTCTCACACTGGTTGTGCCAGTTCTGCTCTCTCTGCAAAGGGCACTAATGGATCAGGCCTGTCCTGGGGAGTGATACACAGTGGAAAAGAGTTTCTGTTAATATACAGACTCTGCACTCCTTGGGCAAATCTTTGGGTTCTGGTGCAGATTATTTAAGAACCATCTTGTGGGTCACTTGTCCTTGCTGCCAGGAGTCCTTGTCACTGTCCTGGGGCAGGCATCAATCCTGGCAGGGGAGATGCTCCATCCAGCTGCACCTTCAGGCAGCATTAAGGTGAAGGACAGCTGTGTGTGCAGCTCCAGTGACACACAGTGTGTGCATCCCCTCTCTGGGATGCTCCTTCCTCCTGGCTAACAGGACTCTCCTGTCCTCCTTCCACCTGGAGTGAGTGGCATTCAGCTCCACGTCATCCAGGTAACTGGAGATTTTCCCTGTCCCTTCCTGGCACTGCTGTGTGTGTACAGCACTGGCACGAGGGATCTCCCTCCCTTTGTCCCAACACTTGTACTTTCACATGTTGCCCTAAACCAGGACAAGTCCCCTGTGAAATCGGGCCTGGTATTACAAGGAGTGCACGATCCCTGGTTTTTATTTCCCTGGTACTCTGGCTGTTAACACAGATCTAGCTCCTGGCTTCAGTTTGTTTTCCTCTTCAGTTGCAGCCTGAGAGCTGCCCAGCCCAGCTCCCTGGGATGCTCCAGCTCGCTGGCAGGGAGCAGGATGTGTGTCCCTGGCACAGCACACGGCTCCCTTGGCAGCCTGCCCTGTTTGTGGAGCTGGGAGCTGTGGAGAAGTGGCCAAGAGAGAACCAACTGTGAGGAGTTGTTGGGAAGTTTTTGTGTTGCTCGGGTAAAGATGGCCTCAAGCTGTAGGGAGGGGGGGAAAAACCCCCCATTTATATCTTTCAGGAGGCCAGGTGGTACGTGGAGAAATGGGGGGATTCAGGATTTTGGTTTGCACAAATACATTCCCTCACAGATGCTCCTGCTCAGGGTGCTGGAGCTGGAAGAGAATCAGCTTTGTGATTGTGTATAAATGAAACAAAATTTAGTCTGGCAGCTTACAGGGTGTCCCTTTACAAGCAAGAAAAGTACTTTGATGCCCATCCTGCAGGTCGGTGCTGTGGGATCGATGTGTCTGCTGGAGACCTGTGGCTGTCACACGTTTAGCTGGATATTGGCAGGGACCCTGTGGATGCACAGCATGGAGAGGCTGGCTTGCCAATATAAGTAATAATGATCTTTTGTTATGCATTCAAAGGCATCGTGCAGCAAAGCAGGAACAAATCCAGAGTGATCACATCAAATCCCTCTTATTTTATGGACGTGTGAATTAGGAGAACCAGTTAAAGGGAGAGAATCCAACCTGGAGCTGGTCCTGGGCAGTTTAAAATTGTCCTCCAAGTAGGAAATACTTGAAGGTATTTAACATGTCTTAAAAACCCCACATGATGTGGGCTGTCTCCAGGGAGCAGGTTGGTGGGGTGAGGTCTGTTCCTTGGTGGAACACCGGGGCTGAGGCAGCGGGAATTGCCAGGCAAGAGCAGCAGAGTGCAAAAAGAGAAGCCTGAAAACAATGGCAGGATGAAAACATAATTCTGTTAACTCAGGGCATCTGATAAGAAAAAGCAGTAGGAGAAGAGGGGAAGGAAAATTTGGGGAGGGAAGGGAAATGAGCTGTTTTCTGCTCTTGGATTACACCAGCTCGGGCCTGTCATTGAAGTCATTTACACCAGGATAACCACGAACCTGTCCCAGAGCATTTCAGCAGCTGGAGGGGATTTATTTGGATGGAAAGAATGTGTTCAGCATAACTTGGCCAAATGACACCTATGGTGGACTTGGCAGCTGTCAGCAAGTATTTATAGGATGTAAACAGCAAGGGGGGAAGGAGGACGGAAATAGAGCAAACCAGGGACAGAAAAATGGGATGAAAACGGGAAAAGGAAGGTTTTTACTGCTGTATGGCTTAGATTGCACAGCATCCAGCCAGGTGGGGTGAGCTAATCCAAATGCTTTGTGCTCTTTGGACAAAGCATTTGAAAGCAGAGGCTGTAATTTTGGGCTGCTCTGAAGGCAATGGGCCTCCAGTGCCAGTTCCTCTGTTTCTGTAATGCTTCTGTAGGATGGACAGGGATCCTTCTCCCATTAGGGGATAGAAAATCAGATTTGATCAGGTGTTTATGGGATCAGACCAAACGTTCCACCTCTGCTCTCTCATTTCTGATGGGGGGTAGCAGTGATTGCTTCAGAAACGAGTATTTGCAGCAATTAGCAGCTTCTGAGCCTCCTGAACACCAGCCTGCACCTCCCATTTGTCTTCTTTAGTAGCCACTGACAGCCTGTACCTTTGATTCATCCTTTCCACATTTAAATCCATTTGTGATTTGACCTCTTCAGCATGTGGTAACAGTGGTTTCCCCAATTTGTGCTTTACATACACCTGTCTGTGAATTCTTTCCTTTGCATTAAAATCTCTGCCTGGTGATATCATTGCTGGCCCTGCATGTCTCCCATCAGTCAGGGTCCTCTCTAGTCAGTGTTTGAGTTTAGTTTGTTCTTATGTGAAGTCCTTCCCATATTCTGGTCATCTTTTGTGCTTCTCTCTGTCATTTTCTAGCTCTGCTCCTTCTTTTTTGGGTGAGAAGTCTGAGCTTGCTCACTGTTTTCCAAATGCCAATCCATCCTGGATGTATATTTCTTATGTTTTCTGTTTTATTCTGGTCACTTTGATTTGCCACTTGAATTTGCACTGAACAGTAGGTTAATGTTTCCCAGTGGTTCCCAAATCCATGTGAGCGGAGCTGGATAAGGGTTTGTTGCTGTAGGGGCATTGCTGCTTCTGTTTTCCTCTTGTCCCATCTGAGGGTCATCTGTTGTTTATCATTTGATTCCATCATTGCTCTGAGTTGCTTCTGCACTTGTTGAAATCAAGGAATACATTTACTCTCCTGAAGGAATTTGTATCATCCTCAATCATTGCCTCCTCATCTGCCCCTCTCCTGGGTCTGTGTGCAGACTAAACCTCTGCCCTCTCATGGCTGTTCATCTCTTCTTGCTCTTTGTTTTCATCTTCACATTGGTTATTAATCCATGCAGTGCCCCCTCCCATGATCCCAGGCTGGCTGAGTTTCTGAGAAGAGCCACTGGAAAAGAAATTTGTGGAAAGAGCTCTGAAATCAGCCATTCCTGGCTGCTTTGGAAGGACCACAGTAGATTTTGCTCCCTCAAAGCCACGTTGACTCTCCCCTCTCCTATCCTGGCTTCATTCTTGGCTGCTTCATCTCACTGCCTTTCATACCCAAGCCAGGCTGTGTGGTTGTGTTCCCTCAGATCCTCAAGGAGTCTGTTTGAAGATTCCTGCATTCACAGTGTTTGTTCCTGGCACTGGGGCTCGTTTGGGAACAGACTGGCGGTTCAGCCGGCGCATGCTCCGCTTCCTTGGGAGAGCCATTCACATCTTCAATCCTTTCAGTGGCTGCTTGTCTGATAATGGCTTTCTCCTTTCCTCCCTTGGCACAGGGGCTGCTCCCAGGTGGGTGTTATCAGGGCACTGATTGAAGCTGGAATCCCCGTGGACATGATTGGAGGGACGTCCATCGGCGCCTTCATGAGCGCCCTGTACGCCGAGGAGCGCAGCTACAACCAGATGAGGATCAAAGCCCGCCAGTGGGCCATGGTGAGCACAGGAATGGTGGAGGCAGCACCCAGGGAAGGTGAACCCAGCTGCATGTTGGTGTCTGTGCCACAGATTGGGCCCTTCCTGGCACCCTGGGAGAGCTGCTCCCTGTCCGAGGGGGCAGGAGCTGAGTGCCCCACTCAGCTGTGCACAGATCCCACTCACACTGCCAGCACAGGGATGTTGTTTCAGGGTGTTCACCTGTGCTTATCTTTGTTTTACCTTCTCTTTTTATGTGCTGGAATCTGTTTCCTTTCTGACTCTCAACAAATGTGTTTCTCTCTTGTGTGATTCTCTCTCTCTCACATGCTGTCAGTTGTTAGTGGAACTGAGGGACAGAGGTAATCCTTCTCTAAACTAACTACAAACGTGTCATTCCTGGTCCTGCCTGCACTTCACACTGCTGGGACTCTGGGCCAGGAGAAACTCTTAACCTTCAACATTTAATACAAACAAAAACTTATTTTCATAGTTAACCCAAAGTTTGGGAAGGTTGTTTTAAATG